GTCTTACTGTTACAAATAAAAGCCCAGTTGTAGAGAGAAAAGTACTTGCACAGAGGAAGAAAGAGGAGTATTGCTGCCTCTAGAAAAAATACCAAGGATATGATGGTGTGATTCTGTCTGTGGCAGCTAGTTCCCTAGCATGGGGTGCCTTGGCCAAGGCTTAAGTAAACTCATTTCCTGCATCCGTCTAGTTTCAAATGTAATCTGAAGAACCTAATCTGTTATTGCAAATAAAACAGCACAACTGAACATCTGCTGATCCAGAGGCATCTTCAATTATTTGTGTAGCTGTCTCTTTGGAAGAGGGACTGCAACAGCATATTAACAGATTGGAATAAACAAGAGTGGCTCGAGTTGTCCAGGTCAAAGGAGTTCTAAAGGATCTTTCTTTTTTGCCAGCTATTATTGTTGAACTTTGAAATTTTGAAAAATGAGTCAGCCAAATATTTGTGAAAGAGATGAGAACAAAGATCAGGGCAGTATTTCTTGTACTAGGACACGGATGGTGGATCTGTTCTGTTTCTGACCTAATACATCCCCTTGATGTTTTCTTAGGAGCAATTTCAGTAGTGTAGGTTTGGATGAAGGCAGGAGGACAGCTTCACCAAAAATGCTTGATAATGGTAACTTAAGTTGTTTGTTTTTAGATGAAATTGGAAAAAGTTTAAAATGTTGAAAAAGACTGAGGTTTCTCAAGCACTTTTCAAGTCCTAAGGGCATTTTGCTATGGGCCAGTTTAACGTGTTGGTGTGTTGATTGCTCTGCCTTGAGATTGATACTGATCACCACCATCTGTGAAAAAACCTTAAAGCTGAGGTGAAGAGAAAAAGGTGTGTGGTGTTTTATTTTTTTTTTTTTAATTACTTGCTGTACCACCATCTCATTTTTTTTTTTCTGAAAAAGTTAATATACGTAGTACAATTAAGATGTTTGTGTCAAGGGGCTCTCCAACAGCCCTTGAAAGTATTATATTTGGATTAGAGCTTTTATGTTGCTTTGTGTGTGGACTCTGCCCACAAAGATTCTAGCTTTCTCTAAAAGCATTGGTGGTTAATTTATGGTATAGCAATTAAATCTCTTACAGAACGTCTTATGGCTGAGAATTGCTGATACCATGACTATCATTCGTTGGTTGTTATGGAAATTAAGTGGGAATGCATTCAATATTAATACTGCATTCCTACTATGTGCACTTCCATGATGGAAAAGTATTTGCCTTCCCCAGGAATGTTAGCTGCTGCAGTGATCCTTCTGTCAAGGGGTGCTCTTCCCAAATGTATCCGGGGTACCCCCTCTCTTACTGTTCTGCAGAGTCATCAGCCACCATGGTGTGGCTGGAGCAGCTCACGTTGATGCTGAACACCCAGTAGTTCTGTGTCCCAGTCCTGGAGTGTGTCTGTGGTCATGTGCTGTGATGGATTTCAATGAGGGTTTACTCGGACAGGGCCAGTTGCTGCCCAGGCACTTCACAGTGTTTCTTCTTCCCTTTGAAAGGGAAGTTCCTTTCACAGATCCTGAAAGGTTGTGTATAGAAGGGTGGCATTTCTGTAACTTCTTTTTAAAGTTGTTGCCATTCAATCTCTTTCCTGTGGCAGGACAACGGTGATGGTTTATTTTTCTTAAGTCCTGAATTCTGGTGTTTAGCTTCCATTTCAGGCTGTTAGGAGCAGGCCATGTCTTAGTCTAACTAGCAGCTGCATTTTCTTTTTCTATTAAATTTTTCAATGTCATTCATAAGATGCTGTTCCACTAATAAGTTGAGCTAATATTTCAAATTTAAGGTTAGGTAGTGATATAATTTATCACTTCTAATTCAAATATAAGTATACTAAAAAGGGTCTCAAGTATGTAGCAGAGTTATTTGCCAGGTTTCTTGAAGAAATATTTACATCTTTGGTTACTACCCATTAAAATTCAGATAACTAGCACTGTTTAAATACAGGAGCAATGTGTATCTACTCTCAGCCTGGTGGGGGAAACTTTTAAATAAGCCTGGAGACTTTGAAGGGGACTTGGTGCTCTAAGGGACATTCAGGTGGAAAAAAAAAAAAAAAAAGGAAAAAAGACTATCACAACATTCTGATTGTATAGTTGAAAATGTTTTTTACAAGAAACTTAAAAATATATTGGTATCTATAAGGAATTAACACATCACCACTGCACCACAGGGGGGGGGGAAAAAAAATCCAGGATGATTGAAACTGCCTGTGAAATGTACAAGCCCACTGGTACTGGTAGCAACGAGCTTCTGGTTTCTGCAGAAACGGTGCAGTGGGAAGAAGAAGTTATTTTTGGTGAAGGGCGTAAAGTGTAAGCGCAAACAAAGCACCTTTTGTCCTCTATATCATAGAGAAGTATTGTGTGGCAGTGTAATTTCTTTTATAATTCAGAATTGATTGATGCTCAATGAGGTCTGTGGATTGTACCCTTTTGCTGTGGGTAGATGCACTTGATAAGTGCAATAATGTCCCCATTCACTGGAGTGGAAGCAGTATTGAAAACTGCAGCTAAACTTGCTGTCTCCAGCAGCAGTGGCATGACTGATTGCTGAAAGTTGGAGCATGGGACTTGAATAGAGGTTTGGCAACGCAGGGGAAAATGGTTGTCTGTTTTGGAGTGTGACATGAGGCAATATTTACCCTGCTCTGTTTCTCCCTTTTCCAAGCAAAAGGCAGGTTGCCAAGTACAGGGACTGAATGGTTTGGATCTTCAGCTGGAAACATTTTGCCTGCACTGGGGTAAATGAGATGTGCAGACAGCTCAGGAAATCCCAAAGTTGTCCTCTCATTGTATGATGCTTTTAATGGTCATGCAAACGAAGTGGCTCATTCTATGCATATATCTTTCTTTCTGTCCTCTATAAACCTCACCCTCATTCCTGCCTATATCCCTCCCTTTTTAAAGAGAAGTTTACAAACTTTCTTAAGTTGTTAAACCCCAACATTTTCTGTGACAAATATTCAAACCCACGAAATTTCTGCACTTCTGGAATTTCCAGAGGAGTCATGGCAGAACAGAAGATCTATTTTTATAACAGTTGATAATAAATATGTACATCCAGAACATAGTAAATGCATTTCAGTTGTTACTGTTTGTGTATATTTAAGTTTAAAATTTTCTAGTTCGTGTGTGTTCTGGAGAGCTGAAGATCTTGCGCAAGTGTTCAGCAAGCTCAGCTGAGGGAGTGCAGTTGCTGTTTTGGCAGCTCCAGCATTCAATTATATGGCTTCAGCCTCAAAAGTGCTCATTTTGAAAAAGCTCTAAAGTGTCAGATCTCTTTTATTTACCTTCTAGTTTCTATGCAACTTATTTGTCAAGCTGTCGTCCAGCTGTGAGGTCTGGTTTAAATGAAATTCTTGCAGAATTGTTCCATCCAGATTTACTCTGTTTTAAAAATGCCACATATTGAGATTTAATGTTAAAGCTCTCTGTCACTTAAGAGCTTTAAAATCTTTCAGCAGTTTAGTGATACACAGGGAGATAGTCACCTTTTTTGGAGCACCTTCCCTTGCATGGAAAAAATCCTCAACTTTCAAATTTCTATAAAATTTTAAAAACATTCTCAGTTGGTCCATTTAGTTGAATCTGTTATATTATTCTGATAAAGTGCTTCAATATGGTGCTAAAGAGTGAAATAATTTTTTCCTATCTAGTTAAGTGTGATATGCTAATTAATGAAATAGGAATGGGGAGATGTCTGATAACTCATGACCAAATATTCTGTGGAGTGGAACTTCTCAATAGATTATTAAACCTAGCTTTACTCTTGCATTAAGTGACACAAGTGTTGATTCCGATATTTTAAAACCATTTCTTTGCTCTCTAGCTAGTCTAGAATAGAAGTGCTGAATTGCATAAAGTTCTTACAATGCCACATAAATTGGGGTAAGTTTCTTTGACCTGTACCTCTTATTACAAAACTTCAGAATGCTATTTTCAGTAGTTTCTTTGGTTTTCTTCAAGAGTTAAGTACCTTGCATAAGGATGTGAATGTTTCTGAGAGAACATTTCCTTCCACTATCAAGAAGAACTATGAGTGGAAAAGGCAGGGAGAAACTGGAAAACTTACAGCTTTATTTTTTGTCCTCCCCAAATGCAAAATGAAACTATCCACAGTACCCTGAGCCCTACACTCTAGTGTATTTCTTGAAATTGCTTTCTCTATAGGCTAAAATTATTCTGGGTTATTAATTTTAAAGCCTTGAAACCTTCAGCTTCTATTCACTGTTGTTTTGTTTTGCCTTTTAGTTTGGTGGGTTTGTGGTGTGGTGGTTTTTTTTATTGGGGTTTTTTTTTTTTGGTGTGTGTTTGTTTGGGGTTTTTTTGGTTGGTGTTTTTTTTTTTTAGAGCTTGACAAGATGAATATACAGACAACTGATTTCTTTTTTTTTTCAAATTCATTCTGAAAATGATGAATGTTTCTGTGTTCACAAGAGCCTGGTGGTGTAACGAAGATAAAAAAATTTTAGTTTACAATTTAAGAAAAAAGGTTGGGGAAAATAGAATAAAAGATGTTTTCTGTTTGCAACATTAAAGCTTCTTGTATTTGGACATGAACATTGAAATATATTTGATTATCTTATTATGCAGAATAATTCAGGTTTTGATATTAAATGTATTTATCATTATTTGAAAATAATTTATTCACACATCTCTATATTGACTTATGGTTTTCATGCTATGCTGGTAAAAGTAAAGTGACTAAAGCTCATGCTGAATAAGCAGGAAAACACAATTCTACTTTTCAATTTAATTTTTTCCCCTGAGTAGGGAAAATCTTCCCCACAAAATTTCTAGATGTATTATACTTTTCTCCTGGTGCTGGTGCCCCTTATAAATACAAAGTCAAACCTCCAAATAGAGGTCTCAGAAGAAGGTTAGCAAAGTGCTGTTAATGTCTGTCATCTCAGCTGTACTGAGATGAATTCAGAGATTGGATTTCTTTAAACCCAAGGAGTTCATGGAGCTCGTATTCAGCTTTTCTCCTCTCTTTCCTGCAGTACCTGGGGCACGTCGAAGTGGATGAGTCCAGAGGGATGCATATCTGCGAAGATGCTGTGAAGAGACTGAAATCTGTATGTATATTTGTTTCATTGAAAAGTTGTGTTTGGGGCTGTGAGCGTTACTGGAAAAGGCCCGTTTGGCAGCAGTGCCCCAGCTAAAGACTGAACTTTTGACCCACGTTAGGGGAACAGTTGGCCGGTTTGAGAGCACTGCTGTGGTTAGGGGGACGTGCTAATCTGATGATGAGAGGGAGAGAGTTACAACTGTTCTTTCTACTTGCAGAAACTATTTGCAAAACAAATGTGTAAAAATCCTCTGTGACCTTTCAGACTAAGTTGGTACCCACATGGGACTTCAACCATTGTTTTTTAACAGTTCTTTCTCCCTCTCTCTTTTCTTCTCCCTCTCTCTCTCCCTCTGTTGCCTGCCACTTTAATAGTGACTTAATTCACCATTATTATACAACATATTACTTGATTTAGGCTGCTTTTTTTTCTAATGCACTGCAGCATTGTAGTCATGCATGAAATAATCTGGCTTGCATCTGCTCAAAGTGGCCTGAAGGCTGCCTAATTCTGACATGTCATGAAGTGGGCTGCTCTCGGTTTGGCTTCTGTGAACGTTTGCTCCTGTAAATGGCACTCGTTCAAAGCTCCTTGTATTTCTGTGGCTCATTTGAAGAGGTCTAGTCATCTCTTTCCTGCAGTAGTAATATCACAAAATCCTGTGGAAATAGCAAACTCCAGAAAGGCAGTGGTCAGTCTGTCAAGGAACTGAGGCTAAAAGCGTTGAAGAGAACAGAAGGAGGAACAACATTAAAATTTGACGTTTGAATGGAGTGGAGAACCACAGTCCCTTTCGTCACATCTCTTACATGTCTTACCTATATACATTCTTCAGTGATGCTTTCAATGGAAGAAACTCTTGCATCCTTGCAGCTCAACAAAAGTACTGAAAACTCCATCAAACACTTCTACTGCACCTTTGCTGACTTAAGATATCTCCTATTGGACGTCACTTTTTTTTCTCACCAGATGTGAGGACTCAAATGACTCCAAACTAAACCTGTTCTTCCCTTCTTCCTAGCACACAACAGAGGATTACAGGTTATCTTTTCTGCCTTCTGTTGTGCTGTAAAGTTTCTGAATTGGTTTAATGCTCTGATTAAAATCAAGTCTTTTCATTCTTTTCTCTCTTGGCTAATGTATAGCAACCTGTTAAAGCTGCATCCCATCTGTTCCCATTCAGTCCAACGGTGATTGATTTTTATTAAAGAAGGGCCACACAAAATATAGATGAGTTTCTTTATTCTGTGGATTGAGTTTACATAGCTAAAAGTGCTGACCATATAATGAATTGCATCCGTTTTTTGTCTCATTCTGGTTTTTGTTCTCTCAGAATAGTTTCTATTAGCACACCAAATAACACCGCAGTACCTACTTTATGCAACTTCTCTCACTCTCTTCCCTGGGGAGCTAGGCTGTGAAGTAGCTCTTCTCTATTTTTTAATGAACTTTGAGCCCACAAGCCAGTTAAGTGCAGCTAGGCTTATAAATAATGAGACACAGTAGAAGCACAGCACCCAGTTTCTTCTGGAATCTGGATAACTCCAGGATTGTGATTCTTGATCACCTGAATTATTGATTCAAATGTCAGACTTGGATATCTGACTTTTACAGTGCATTCTCCAGAAGCAGATAATTTCATTTCCCTAAATT